TGTCTCGTGTCTCGTGTCGCAAATCCAATGACGCTAGTAGTGACGATTCTGTCTGAGCAATCAGTGATCTGCAGTGTTTCACGTCACATTTTAGTACCGGTACGGTACGCTTGGAACCTCAACGGACCAGGTACCATTTAAAGCGACCTGAAGCGAACCGTACTGTACCGTACCATGCAGTGGAAAAGCGCCACAAGTGAGCCGTACCGAACCGAACCGTACCGTACTATGCAGTGGAAAAGCGCCTTTGGATGCCCCTTGAGGTAAGATAAAACATATCAAAAATTAATTTCAAAGTGAACTATCCCTTTAATGTGTGTTTTGAAGATGAACGAAAGTCTGACGGGGTTGATCAACATGAGGGACCGTAATTACTGACAGAGTTTACATTTTTTGGCTGAACTAACGCTTCAAACAATGTTGTAGCTGAGAATGTAACGTCCAGGATCTCCCAGAATCAAGTGTGTGTTGTTTCAGCACCGCGGACAGCTCCTGTTGTCTAACACTGAGCCGTCTACTGTTCAGATCTGTGCACACACACACCGCAAACATGCTTTTCTATCTTACTTAAAATGTTTGTCTTGTTTCCAGTCCTAATATCTAAAAAATTCTTAAATCAAGATTCATTTACTAGATGAGTAACATGCTATTAGATATTATGTCCTGTTTTCTGAGGAAATAAATGGGGTCGGAAAAATAATGTTGATTCAAACAGAAACAAGATTATTTTTGTGACCCCATTGGGAGATAATTTAGCTTTTTTTAATCAACAATTCACTTTTAGTTTATTTCCCAGAAAACAAGACATAATATCTAATGTCATGTTACTCCTCTAGTAAATGCATCTTGATTTAAGAATGTTTAGATATTTGCACTGGAAACGAGACAAATACTGTCATAAATACTGAAATACTGAGATAGGGGCCGTTCACATATCGCGCCTAAAAACGCGTAGAAAACGCTAGGCGCACGCGTTCTCCTTTTTCCAAAGAAGCGCTAGGGCGGTTGCACTCCAGAGGCGTCTGTCGTTGCTAAGCAACCATCAGCTGCGCTCTCCATTACATGAAGGAAATTTCAGCAATGGATTTCCACCACCGAAAAACCTTTGCTGTAACTCTGTTACAAGATTTATTTACTCAGAAAAGTAAAAAAACGCCGCAGTGTTTGGGTGCACCCCATACTACAAAAACGCAAGAACCATGGGGAATTTCACCAGCTGATTCAGGAACTCCGCCTGGACAATGGGAGGTTCAAAGCCTATTTCAGAGTGGACAAGGACCAGTTTGATTATATTTAAAGAAGAGGTAACAAAAATGGCGAGGAAGCTGATTGGTTGACGTGACACGTGACCTACGGTGCGCTTGCGGCATTCTGAAAAGTTGAGATGTTTTTATCTCGATGCGGCGCGGACGCGCCTGGAAAAAACGAGCGCGTCGCACCGCGACCGCGTCGCTTCCATTATGAGCGCGCATACCGCGCGCCTACATTTGAAATAACGAACTTGAGCGCGCAAAAGACGCGATATGTGAACCGGCCCTAAGACGAGCATTGTTTTTGCAGTGAGCAACACGAGGGTCGTTCGCACTAGTAATCTGCACTGTAAAGCTGCTGTGAAACTGGAGATAACTCTATAAATGAAGGAGACTCGTGTGTAGTGTGTCTTAATGTGCGAGTTTGAACTGCATTGATGAAGCTGGTCTATATCACTGTCAGCCGGGTTTAGCAGGATTACCTGTAATCCGAGGTCGTGGGTTCACTCGCTGCTTTAATCTGACGCTTCATTCGCCGGAGTGTGTGTGACCTGTCCACTAATGCACACAATCATACCTGCAAATACACCATAAAAGCTCTTTTTAATCGTTCAGAGAGTTTAAAGTATCATGGTTTCTCATACTAAACTCTCTTAAAAGATGCTGGGTTGTTTCAACCCAAATTTGGGTCAGATATAGACAAACCCAGGCGTTTAACCCAACGCTTGCTTCATTTCTAAACCCAAATTAGCTTTTACGAGTGTAGTTTATTTCATTTATAAAGTGTGTGTGTGTGTGTGACCTTGAGGTAGTGTGGTTTGTCGATCACGTCTAACATTGAGAGGACAGGGATGTCTTGGCATGGCACAGATTTCGCAGTGTGTTAATCAACCACACACACACACACACACACACACACACACACACACACACACACACACACGTGAGCAGGTGGTGTTTGTGTTGGGTGTGTGAGTTAACCAGCCAGACCTGCAGACCTAACAGTAGAAAACAGCAGGACATTATAATGTCACCTCAAAGACTATCTATCTATCTATCTATCTATCTATCTATCTATCTATCTATCTATCTATCTATCTATCTATCTATCTATCTATCTATCTATCTATCTATCTATCTATCTATCTATCTATCTATCTATCTATCTATCTATCTATATGTCTATCTATCTGTCTGTCTATCTATCTGTCTGTCTATCTATCTATCTATCTATCTATCTATCTATCTATCTATCTATCTATCTATCTATCTATCTATCTATCTATCTATCTATCTATCTATCTATCTATCTATCTATCTGTCTATCTATCTATCTATCTATCTATCTATCTATCTATCTATCTATCTATCTATCTATCTGTCTATCTCTCTATCTATCCATCTGTGTATATGTCTATCTACCTGTCTATCTATCTATCTACATTCGATGCATTCTTCCTCGCTCTCTTTTTTACCGTTGAAATCTGGTGGTCGTGTTGACTTTCTGCTGTAATCGTCCCAGTGTTTGTGTGTGTGTGACGCTGATGCTGCATGCGGTGGGGGAGGAGGAGGGCGGAGCTCTGGGATTATATGGGAAGGGGGAGGAGCCAAACCAGACTGTCAATCATCACAGCTGCCTGCAGACACTGGGGGATGGGGCGAGAGAGAGGAGAGAGAAAGACATCTTTTTTTGTCCTCCTCTGCGTCTCCTCCACAGGGAAACACACACACACACAGAGACACACACACACACACACAGCTGCTGTTATTATGGGATGTTTGTGAGCCTGGGCTGCAGGGATTCCAGTGTTTTAGTGAATCTGCCCAGGTCACATTTCACCCTAAAATCTAAATAATGTAGTTTCAGGCAACGATTAATCACATCCAAAATAAAAGTTTGTTTATATAATACATGTGTGTGTGCTGTGTATAATAATTTTGTATATATAAATACACACATATGCATGTACAAATTGTACTACTCATATATATATATATATATATATATATATATATATATGTATATATATATATATATATGTATATATATAAATATGTTATATATAAATAACATTTTTCTTAAATATATAGATTCATGTGTGTATCTATATATACAAAATAATTATACACAGCACACACACATGTATTATATAAACAAACTTTTATTTTGGATGTGATTAATCACTGCCCAGCACTAAAAATAAGAAATACCGAGAGAAATATACATGCCAAAAAAATAATTAAGTGTGTGTGTGTGTGTGTGTGAATGCTATGTCCGTCCTTCAGATCAATAGTGATTATTGTCTGGTGTGATTGGATCAGTGTGTCCATATGGCCGGTGTAATGTCTGTCAGGAGAACCTGTGGTGAATGCCATCTGGAGGATCAGATCGTCACACACACTCTCACACACACTCTCTTCTGACCGAACATGTTTGCTTGTGCAGAACTCACAGCCGTGTTTCTCAGAGATAGAGAGCCATTAATACAGAGAATAAATGACCGTTATTATCACAGGAAATGTAATGTAACTAGGCTATTAATAACCTAAAAATAAGCAAACTATTATAATGTAATGTTAAAGGGATAGTTCACCCAAAAATTTTAATTAGCCCATGATTTACTCTCCCTGAAGCCATCCTGTGTGTATGACATTATTCTAGTTATATTAATAAATATCCTGGCTCTTCCCTGCTTTATAATGGCCGTTTATATAGTTATGTTAGTCAGTACAGTTTTAAATATGGATATTTTTCTTAAACAAACTTCAGAAGGCTTTTAGTCGAGTCGAGCACTTTATCATGGATAGTTGCACTGATGGACTTCCAAAGACACACATCCATTTATAATGCTTGGAAGAACCATTTAAAAAAAAAAAAAATGAATTTAACTCTGATTGTATTCGTCTGACAGAATAATGTCATACACACCTAGGGTGAGTAAATCAAGGGCTAATTTTAATTTTTGGGGTGAACTATCCCTTTAATGAACATGCAATGTGGTAGATAAAAAAATGTAAAATTAAATGAATGTTTTATTTTAACATTTCTTTTGCAATGCACATTGAACAATATTTATTTATTATTATATGATTTGCTGCACATCACAATATTTGTGCCGCTAACAAAACTGGTTCCGCAAATTCTTCAAGTTCTCAGAATAAAGGATTAAAAATTATTCTAAGTTTTATTAAACACAATTTTACTAGAAATAAATCAGGATTGTAAATAAACATGTTAACATTTAAAATGTAATTTGCTGGCATATTTTGGTATTCTAATTTAACTTTTCTTTTGCATTGCACACTAAACAATATTTATGTATTATTATTATTATATGATTTGCTGACATTATTTATTCTTCCCACACAAATTCTTCACGTTCTCAGAGCAATAGATTTAAAAAATGAATACATTTTAATAAAATACAATTTTAGCATGTAATGAGTCTATATAATATATTAGTTTCACCTTTTACTGAAATAAATGAGGTTTTTTCACGGTATTCTAATTTCACCTTAAAGGTTCGGGCACTACATGTATGGTGTAGAGAGGTTCCCAAGATTATTAAATAATCTTGTTTAAATCCATTTTTTTTTTTCAAATTTTGATTAGTTTATGAATTAATCAGCTTGTAAACATGTTATCACTAGAAAAAAATGCATTAATTTAAGACATTTCTCCTTCTACACAACCTGTTCGCTAGAGTAAAGTTGTGTGTAGAATGATGCATCTCTAACTCTGTTCCTCAGGGACTTCCTCCCGCGCGGATCTGGCATCGTCACCCGCCGTCCGCTCGTCCTCCAGCTCATCAACTGCCCCACAGGTGAGTCCGGTCGCCTAGCAACAGCAGGTTAGCATGACATCAGCATCCGCTTCAGCGGGCCGGCGCTGGTCTGGGATCAGGTTTGACTGCAGGAACAGGACAAAGCTCTGAGAAACACTGCCCTCTAGTGGAGCAGACTTACAGCAGTAACTATTGATATTTACTAATTAGTTGATCTTTACTGATTAGTGGATCTCTAATCGATCAACATGATCAAAACTTTGCTCTAAAGTTAATTACCTCATCACAATGTTAATGTAAGAATAACTTTTATCTAGTTAGTAATATTTTAAGATGAACTTGCTGGACTGAAGCAGGTTTACTTGATTATATATATATATATATATATATATATATCATTTTTTAATTACAATCATGTGTATCAAATATGATCATCAAGCTTTTGAGGAAGGTTTATTTCTACATCTCTCATCAGATATATATTTATATGCATTTTATATCAGTATTTTGTTCATAAAGACCTCATTGATTTACATTACAAGCATTAGTTTCATCTTTTTGTCATATAAATATCAATATCTGCCAATAATATGTCTTAGTAAGATGCTATTTAAATGCTTAGTTTTATGATCAAAGCTCTATACTATAGTTTATATACAAAGCAATGCATTTATATGCATTGTATGTAAGTATCTTTTAGACTGTTATAAAGATCTCAATTTACATTACAAGCATCAGAATTTCATCTTAATGTTTGTCATATTCAGGTGAAACTTGAAAAATGAGAATATCGTGCATCAGTTTGTGTATTTCAGTAATTCAAATTAAAAGGTGAAGCTAATATATAACTAGACTTAATCTTAGACCGACTTTATTGTCATTGAACAGTACATTCACGATATACGGTTAAATGAGATTTCGTTGCACGGCTCTGAATAGAAACAGAAGACAAGTAAAAGAGAAACAGCATAAATATAAATATGTGCAATATATAAAATATGTGCAATATTACATTTAATGAATATGAGACACTTATAAGTGCAGACATATGATGCAACTATACATAGCAACTATATACATATGCATGATTATAACTGTATACATTTGCATGATTATACTTTTCAGAGGGCCGAGATTTCTGTATTTAAAATCCTTTATTTATTTAATGTAATATTGTAATTTTATGGGATTTTGAATTTGGGGTTTTCATAAGAAGCCATAATCATCAAAATTATAACTTTTGCACGATTTTCAAATTTTTCGAGTTTCATCTGTAAATATGCAGCATCTGCAGTAAATTGAATACTTTTGCAAATATTATAAAACAAAACAGGTATTCTCATAAATATGATGCTAAAAACAATTTTTTTAGTCAAAAAACTATAATATTTTCAAAAACATTGAGGTTTCTCTCTATTATTTCCGAGATTATATTGTGTAATGATCTCTGTGTCCTCTCAGAATATGCCGAGTTCCTCCACTGTAAGGGGAAGAAGTTCACGGATTTCGATGAGGTGCGTCAGGAGATCGAGGCGGAGACGGATCGGGTCACGGGACAGAATAAAGGCATCTCACCCGTGCCCATCAACCTGCGGGTCTATTCGCCAAACGGTCAGATCACAGCTCGGATCTTAGAATGCGATTACAGTTCTTTACAAATATCTAAAGACTCTTAAATCAAGATGCATTTACTAGATGAGTTATATAAGATATTATGTCTTGTTTTCTGGAGAAATCTATCAATATTGAGTGAGTTAGGCCAAAAAAAAAGCCAATTAGGTAAGAAAAATAATCTTGTTTCTGTTTAAATTAACATGATTTTTCTGAGCATTTTTAGATATTTGGACTGAAACCAGACAAAATACATCTAGATTTAAGCATTTTTAGATATTTGGAATGAAACAAGACAAAATACATCTAGATTTAAGAATTTTTTTTGATATTTGGACTCAAACGAGACAAAGATACTTTTAGATTTTAGCATTTTTTATTTTTGGACAGAAACCAGACAAAATACATCTAGATTTAAGCATTTTCTGATATTTGGACTGAAACCAGACAAAATACATCTAGATTTAAGCATTTTCTGATATTTGGACTGAAACTAGACAAAAATACATCTAGATTTAAGCATTTTCTGATATTTGGACTGAAACTAGACAAAAATGCATCTAGATTTAAGCATTTTCTGATATTTGGACTGAAACCAGACAAAATACATCTAGATTTAAGCATTTTCTGATATTTGGACTGAAACTAGACAAAAATGCATCTAGATTTAAGCATTTTCTGATATTTGGACTGAAACTAGACAAAAATACATCTAGATTTAAGCATTTTCTGATATTTGGACTGAAACCAGACAAAATACATCTAGATTTAAGCATTTTCTGATATTTGGACTGAAACTAGACAAAATACATCTAGATTTAAGCATTTTCTGATATTTGGACTGAAACCAGACAAAATACATCTAGATTTAAGCATTTTTAGATATTTGGACTGAAACCAGACAAAATACATATAGATTTAAGCATTTTTAGATATTTGGACTGAAACCAGACAAATACATATAGATTTAAGCATTTTTAGATATTTGGACTGAAACTAGACAAAAATGCATCTAGATTTAAGCAGTTTCTGATATTTGGACTGAAACCAGACAAAATACATCTAGATTTAAGCATTTTTAGATATTTGGACTGAAACCAGACAAAATACATCTAGATTTAAGCATTTTCTGATATTTGGACTGAAACTAGACAAAAATACATCTAGATTTAAGCATTTTCTGATATTTGGACTGAAACCAGAGAAAATACATCTAGATTTAAGCATTTTTAGATATTTGGACTGAAACCAGACAAAATACATATAGATTTAAGCATTTTCTGATATTTGGACTGAAACTAGACAAAATACATCTAGATTTAAGCATTTTCTGATATTTGGACTGAAACCAGACAAAATACATCTAGATTTAAGCATTTTTAGATATTTGGACTGAAACCAGACAAAATACATATAGATTTAAGCATTTACTGATATTTGGACTGAAACTAGACGAAATACATCTAGATTTAAGCATTTTCTGATATTTGGACTGAAACCAGACAAAATACATCTAGATTTAAGCATTTTTAGATATTTGGACTGAAACTAGACAAAATACATCTAGATTTAAGCATTTTCTGATATTTGGACTGAAACCAGACAAAATACATCTAGATTTAAGCATTTTTAGATATTTGGACTGAAACCAGACAAAATACATCTAGATTTAAGCATTTTCTGATATTTGGACTGAAACCAGACAAAAATACATCTAGATTTAAGCATTTTCTGATATTTGGACTGAAACTAGACAAAAATACATCTAGATTTAAGCATTTTCTGATATTTGGACTGAAACCAGACAAAATACATCTAGATTTAAGCATTTTTAGATATTTGGACTGAAACCAGACAAAATACATCTAGATTTAAGCATTTTCTGATATTTGGACTGAAACTAGACAAAAATACATCTAGATTTAAGCATTTACTGATATTTGGACTGAAACTAGACGAAATACATCTAGATTTAAGCATTTTCTGATATTTGGACTGAAACTAGACAAAAATACATCTAGATTTAAGCATTTTCTGATATTTGGACTGAAACCAGACAAAATACATCTAGATTTAAGCATTTTCTGATATTTGGACTGAAACCAGACAAAATACATCTAGATTTAAGCATTTTCTGATATTTGGACTGAAACCAGACAAAATACATCTAGATTTAAGCATTTTCTGATATTTGGACTGAAACTAGACAAAAATACATCTAGATTTAAGCATTTTCTGATATTTGGACTGAAACCAGACAAAATACATCTAGATTTAAGCATTTTCTGATATTTGGACTGAAACCAGACAAAATACATCTAGATTTAAGCATTTTTAGATATTTGGACTGAAACCAGACAAAATACATCTAGATTTAAGCATTTTCTGATATTTGGACTGAAACCAGACAAAATACATCTAGATTTAAGCATTTTCTGATATTTGGACTGAAACTAGACAAAAATACATCTAGATTTAAGCATTTTCTGATATTTGGACTGAAACCAGACAAAATACATCTAGATTTAAGCATTTTCTGATATTTGGACTGAAACCAGACAAAATACATCTAGATTTAAGCATTTTCTGATATTTGGACTGAAACCAGACAAAAATACATCTAGATTTAAGCATTTTCTGATATTTGGACTGAAACCAGACAAAATACATCTAGATTTAAGCATTTTCTGATATTTGGACTGAAACCAGACAAAATACATCTAGATTTAAGCATTTTTAGATATTTGGACTGAAACTAGACAAAATACATCTAGATTTAAGCCTTTTCTGATATTTGGACTGAAACTAGACAAAATACATCTAGATTTAAGCATTTTCTGATATTTGGACTGAAACTAGACAAAAATACATCTAGATTTAAGCATTTTCTGATATTTGGACTGAAACCAGAGAAAATATATCTAGATTTAAGCATTTTCTGATATTTGGACTGAAACCAGAGAAAATATATCTAGATTTAAGCATTTTCTGATATTTGGACTGAAACTAGACAAAAATGCATCTAGATTTAAGCATTTTTTGATATTTGGACTGAAACCAGAGAAAATACATCTAGATTTAAGCATTTTCTGATATTTGGACTGAAACTAGACAAAAATACATCTAGATTTAGGCATTTTCTGATATTTGGACTAAAACCAGACAAAATATATCTAGATTTAAGCATTTTCTGATATTTGGACTGAAACCAGACAAATACATCTAGATTTAAGCATTTTTAGATATTTGGACTGAGACCAGACAAATACATCTAGATTTAAGCATTTTCTGATATTTGGACTGAAACTAGACAAAAATACATCTAGATTTAAGCATTTTTAGATATTTGGACTGAGACCAGACAAATACATCTAGATTTAAGCATTTTCTGATATTTGGACTGAGACCAGACAAATACATCTAGATTTAAGCATTTTCTGATATTTGGACTGAGACCAGACAAAAATACATCTAGATTTAAGCATTTTCTGATATTTGGACTGAGACCAGACAAATACATCTAGATTTAAGCATTTTCTCATATTTGGACTGAGACCAGACAAAAATACATCTAGATTTAAGCATTTTCTGATATTTGGACTGAAACCAGACAAAATACATCTAGATTTAAGCATTTTCTGATATTTGGACTGAAACCAGACAAAATACATCTAGATTTAAGCATTTTCTGATATTTGGACTGAAACCAGACAAAATACATCTAGATTTAAGCATTTTCTGATATTTGGACTGAAACTAGACAAAAATACATCTAGATTTAGGCATTTTCTGATATTTGGACTAAAACCAGACAAAATATATCTAGATTTAAGCATTTTCTGATATTTGGACTGAAACCAGACAAATACATCTAGATTTAAGCATTTTTAGATATTTGGACTGAGACCAGACAAATACATCTAGATTTAAGCATTTTCTGATATTTGGACTGAAACTAGACAAAAATACATCTAGATTTAAGCATTTTTAGATATTTGGACTGAGACCAGACAAATACATCTAGATTTAAGCATTTTCTGATATTTGGACTGAGACCAGACAAAATACATCTAGATTTAAGCATTTTTAGATATTTGGACTGAGACCAGACAAATACATCTAGATTTAAGCATTTTCTGATATTTGGACTGAAACCAGACAAAAATACATCTAGATTTAAGCATTTTTAGATATTTGGACTGAGACCAGACAAATACATCTAGATTTAAGCATTTTCTGATATTTGGACTGAAACTAGACAAAAATACATCTAGATTTAAGCATTTTTAGATATTTGGACTGAGACCAGACAAATACATCTAGATTTAAGCATTTTCTGATATTTGGACTGAGACCAGACAAAAATACATCTAGATTTAAGCATTTTCTGATATTTGGACTGAGACCAGACAAATACATCTAGATTTAAGCATTTTCTGATATTTGCACTGAGACCAGACAAAATACATCTAGATTTAAGCATTTTTAGATATTTGGACTGAGACCAGACAAATACATCTAGATTTAAGCATTTTCTGATATTTGGACTGAAACCAGACAAAAATACATCTAGATTTAAGCATTTTTAGATATTTGGACTGAGACCAGACAAATACATCTAGATTTAAGCATTTTCTGATATTTGGACTGAGACCAGACAAAAATACATCTAGATTTAAGCATTTTCTGATATTTGGACTGAGACCAGACAAATACATCTAGATTTAAGCATTTTCTGATATTTGGACTGAGACCAGACAAATACATCTAGATTTAAGCATTTTCTGATATTTGCACTGAGACCAGACAAATACATCTAGATTTAAGCATTTTCTCATATTTGGACTGAGACCAGACAAAAATACATCTAGATTTAAGCATTTTCTGATATTTGGACTGAGACCAGACAAAAATACATCTAGATTTAAGCATTTTCTGATATTTGGACTGAGACCAGACAAATACATCTAGATTTAAGCATTTTCTGATATTTGGACTGAAACCAGACAAAATACATCTAGATTTAAGCATTTTTAGATATTTGGACTGAAACCAGACAAAATACATCTAGATTTAAGCATTTTCTGATATTTGGACTGAGACCAGACAAAAATACATCTAGATTTAAGCATTTTCTGATATTTGCACTGAGACCAGACAAAAATACATCTAGATTTAAGCATTTTCTGATATTTGGACTGAGACCAGACAAATACATCTAGATTTAAGCATTTTCTGATATTTGGACTGAGACCAGACAAATACATCTAGATTTAAGCATTTTCTCATATTTGGACTGAGACCAGACAAAAATAGATCTAGATTTTTTGCATATTTTTATATTAGGACTGAAACCAGACAAAATACATCTAGATTTAAGAATATTTAGATATATGGACTGGAAAACATTTTTTGCAGCTAAAGAAGCTCCTGTCAGAATGGCAGTGTTTGTGTTAGTCTGACGTGTGTGTTTGTCTGCAGTACTGAACCTGACGCTGGTGGATCTGCCTGGAATGACTAAAGTGCCGGTGGGAGATCAGCCGGCAGACATCGAGCACCAGATCAGAGATATGCTGATGCAGTTCGTGACCAAAGACAACTGTCTTCTGCTCGCCGTATCGCCCGCCAACTCGGACCTCGCCAACTCTGACGCGCTGAAGATCGCCAAAGAAGTCGACCCGCAGGGTGTGTGCCGCGTCTCGGCTCATCAAGCGCATCCATCCTCACATTCCTCTGATTAAGTGCACAGAAAAGCTCAAGCACTTCATATTTGCTTACATTTTATAAAAAAAAGGGTTTAAAAACAACACACACAAATAAAATTGTTACATGAGATAAAGTCAAGTCACCTTTATTTATATGTAAAACTCGAAAAATTAGAATATCGTGCAAAACTTTATTTCAGTTATTCAACTTAAAAGGTGAAACTAATATATTATATAGACTCATTACATGCTAAGTGAGATATTTCAAGCCTTTATTTGTTATAATTGTGATGATTATGGATTATAGCTTATGAAAACCTTTTCACAATTTGGGGTTTAAGTTGAATCACTGAAATTTTTGCACCATATTCTCATTTTTCGAGTTTGTACAAAGTTTGTTTCTAGAAGAAAATTGCATCATCGTCCACCTTAAGTAAGGCAGATTAATAATATTGTTGAACATTAAATGTCCCCAGCTAAGAAAGCCAAAAGCCAAGGCAAAGTAAACATTAACTGAAATACCATAAAAACTATTTTATTGCAGCTAGTTGCCAAGGCAACATTTCCCATCATCATTTAGTTTAACTTAATGTACTAAAATAAATAATTTAGTTTGACATATTGCATGTTCAGATATTCATACAATGTGGAAGTTTGGGAAAATGATCAAAAATGTTGAAAAATAATCTGACTAGCAACGTAAAAAAAACGCTAGAATGTAAAGTGTAAATGTTAACTAGCGAAGTTAACTAATGTTAACAAATGAAACCTTAATGTAAAGTGTTGCCAGAAACTCAACTATCTTCTTGAACTTGTGAACAGCCGATATGACAATTTTGGCCTATACCGATAACCGATAATTCATCATATTTGAAAGCCGATGACCGACATATTGGCCGATAAATCTAAATCCAAATTTTTATATAATTTTTGAAAGCCTGATTATTAAAACAAAAGTCTCACCTTTAAAATCCACGTCCCAAACACACAATTATAATGCTGTTTTATCCTCTTTTCAAGTGATTTCAATCATATTTCAATCAATTCATAATCATCATGTTGAACAGTGAGCATCTGAAGAGTCTCAGCTGAAGGAAATAATACATTATTGATCGGCTTTAATTTATCAGACACATTTTCTTATCGGGCCGATTAAAAATGAACATATATCAGCCGATACCGATATGGTGGCCGATATATCGCGCAACACTAATTTTAAAGGAAATATTCTCCTAAATGTGAAGTGTTTAGCGATTATTAACAGAAATAACTGGTGCAGCTTTAAGTTCTGTTCGCGATGTGTGATAATTTCAGGTTTATTTGGGGGAAAAGCGTTACATATACAAAGACGGAATAAGTCCCGCCTTCTAAATCACGACTGGCCTTAAAGGGACTGGTAAATATCAGTGTGATGCATCCAAACGGTGTGTGTTCTCACACGTCGTGTGTTTGTGTGTGTGTGAGCAGGTCAGCGGACTATCGGTGTCATCACTAAACTGGATCTCATGGATGAAGGGACCGACGCTCGGGATATCCTGGAAAACAAGCTCCTGCCTCTGAGACGAGGTGAGGCCAGAACGCTTTTATCCTCATCACATCTCGCAAAACTTGCCCTCAAACGCATTCAATCCCATTCTCTCTTCAACGATTCAATTACGGTCGAACACAAATTAAAACCATCAAACAAAACCGATAATCCCTCAAACATTCAGACACTGAAAACACTGTGAAAGAAAGTGTTTCTTTGCTCCCTTTATTATTATATGGAAACTATTACATTTGTTAAAAATTGATTTGTAATTATTTTAAAAAGTGCTCATAATTACAGGTGAAAATTTTGATAATTATGTCTTACAGCTTATCAAAATCCCAAATTCAAAATCTCAGAAAATTAGAATTTTACATGAAATCAATAAAAAGGGGTTTTGAATACAGAAATATCGCCCCTCTGAAAAGTATAATCATGTATATAGATTTATATTTACTAAATTTCACCTTTTAAGTTGAATTACTGAAATAGATGAACTTTTGCAGTGCACGATATTCTAATTTTTCGGGTTTCACCTGTATATAGTTATGTTAATAAAAATGCACAAATAAATTTTTGCTTATTGAATAAATTAATTAATAAGACAAAATGTAGTCGAATCGTAATTCCCACATTGTGAGGTCCCTCTTATTTTCCTCATTCATTAGAAATAAAATGACTTTATTTTTAAATATCACAAATTCATTGCTCATTTACTCATAATATTATTAAATATATTGAAATAACTTCTCATTGGATGTCCTGAGATGAAACGGTGAGCAGCTATTGAACTTTTGTCCTAAAATATTTATTTCTCCATGAGATTTTATGTTAATATATCAATAATTTAACAATGATGTTGGCTAATGGTCACTTGACATGCAGGTATAACAAAATATTTAATTAATAATTAATTTCAAATTTATATTTTTTGTACTATTAGGCTTTTATTTTCTTTGTAAACACTAGTGGAAAAGACTATATCACGTTTCAGCAACATTTGTGACAGCAAACTACTAGTAAAAAGTAAACTACGGCTGACCAGATCTCGCCTCATGGTTTCCCTCTAGTGGAAGTGTGAGAGAGAATCAGAAAGTCTTCATTTCAGTGACACATCTGGAAAAAACGTTGCTTTCTTTCTCTGCTCAGCAACAGAGGGTGTTTATGGGAGAGCGGTGTGCTGACGCTGCAGTTTCACACACGTCGGGTTTTCCCATCAAACGCGTCTTCAAAACCACAAACATGCTTTCTTTCCGGATCCGAAAGCATGAGCAACGAGAGTTTAACCTTTTAATCCAGACATAAATTCTTTGTCTATGTGTACTTCATATACGCATCATCCAATTTAATGTGGTTTAATAGCATTCTCAAGACCTTGCCACCAAAATCAAAAGAACAATGGACGCTTTTCACATTTCTGTAAGTTTTAAAAAGAAAATATAGAATCAAATAAATGGATTAATAATGTTTTATTTGTGAATACAAATAGTAATATATAACATTTCTGTCTTTATTAACCTTTATGCATTGAAATCTAAATCATTCCGTTGCATTTTTTAACCCTTGTGTGTTTTTAAGGACATTTCTGTCCTTTTTATTTTTTTTTTTATTATTTTGGCTGTTGATGCAAACGGCATAATTCTTTTGTCAGAAGTGTGTATTTTTATTGGAATTTTCACATCTCATCCTAATTTCCTTTCATAAATCTATTTATACACAAAATAGGACCTCAAGGACAAAAATGTCCCCATTGAAACCCATTAAAACTGAATTCTTTAGTCCCAGGGGCCTTTTAACTATAAAATAATAAAATATAAAATATATAAAATGTGAACTATTTATTTATTTTTTACCGGATGGCACTATTTCTCAGGTTTTGCCTATAAAGCAAATACTCCGCTGCATTATAGAGCCAATTAGATCTTTAAAACGAGAGCAAACTTAAGCTTTATTAAGAGTTTTTGACACAGATATTTTTGTCCTCTAAGGACTTCAGTAACTTTTTTAAGTCGGCGCTCAAGACTTCGTGGATTTAGGACATTTAAATGCTAATTAAGGCCTTATTTTTTACACTAAGGAATTAAGACGTTTTATGGATCCGCGGACACCCTGTAACTCATAGAAATAGATCAATACCCTCCTCAGCAGTTTCTGTGAATAATTAACAAGGTTTCAGAGTAACAAACAGGAGAATATGGTGTTTCAACATCAAGCTTCGATTCCCTGAGAAAGCAAGAACGGATCAAATGCAAATGTTTACACTGCAAAAAATGATTTTCTTACTTAGTATTTCCAGTCCAAATATCAAACATTTCTTAAATTAAGATGCATTTACTAAAGTACTGAAATGCCATAAGATATTAAGTCTAAACTAATTTTTCTTTTAAAAAAAGCAAAATGATCTGCCAATGAAGTTAGAAAAATAATCCTGTTTCTGTTTGAATTAACATTATAATTTATAACATTATAATTTTGCCTTTTTAAGCATCAACTCTCTTAATTTTGATTAATTTCCCTGGAAAACAAGACTAATAATATCTAATGGAATGTTCCTCATCTAGTAAATGCATCTTGATTTAAGAATTTTTAGATATTTGGACTGGAAACAAGACAAAAATACTGAGTAAGAAAATCATTTTTTGCCGTGAATGCAAGTCGCTTTCAAAGCATGCATAAATGTAAAGCATGCATAAATATAAAAATGCATAAATGTCTCAAACTGTGCTCACATTTGCAGAAGTAAGAAAGCATGCAATCTGAACATCTCTCATCAGTTTCTGCTAAGATCAGATGATGTGTGTGTTTGACTGCAGGTTACATCGGTGTGGTGAACCGCAGTCAGAAAGACATCGACGGAAAGAAGGATATTAACGCGGCTATGGCTGCGGAGAGGAAGTTTTTCCTGTCTCATCCCAGTTATAGACACCTGGCCGACCGCATGGGAACGCCGTTCCTGCAGAAAACCCTCAACCAGGTGAGACGATGAAGACCGACAGACAGAGCTTAGAGGAGTATAGTTCACAATCTCCTGATAGTTTACTCTCCACATCATCCAAGATGTTCACGTCTGTCTCCCTTCAGATTTGACTCCTTAGATCACATGTGTCAAACTCAAGGCCCGCGGGCCACAACCGGCCCGCAAATGAATTATTTTTGGCCCGCATGACAAAATCTATTTATTTTTAGAGCTGGCCCGCCGTCACTGTGTCACGTGACAAGCAATGACGCGTCACCATGGAAACATGACCGCGAAAGCGTGACATTCTGGGCGGTAACCCGGATGAGTGGCCATTATGGGGGTGTTGTGCCTAATTCCGACCCCCCGGCTAAAGACTACCCCCTTTCGCGTGCACGCGGACAGTACCGTCGTGTTTCCGGTAGATGGCAGTTAAAACACGCAACGTTCGGTTAAACGCTTCACTGATCCCCACTCCAAACGTTCAAATTGAAGAAAATCTGTTATTTTCCTGTAGATGGCAGTATAAACTCAGAAACGTAATTGCTTTTCAACCCTAATCGTAAAGGAAACTGGCACGTCCGTAGCAAATCTCTTTTGATAAACGCTTCGATGGCGTAATTTGTTCCATTTTTTTCTTCTTCTTTTCTTTTCTGCTTAGATGCAAACCAAGCTATGCATCATATTGTCACTTACACCGAAATGTTTATAATATTCCAATAAATTTATGAAATAAATACATACACAAGGATTTTGTCTGGTACTGAAGCTTCCAGTGCACATAATACAACAAGAAACATGATAATAATAAAATATGAAAGTATAAAGACACGATAGGTTTAGTCATAATGAACTTTAACAGATTATGAACATATTTATTTAGTATTTTATAAATAATTTCTTTTCTCTAAGTACACAAACGCTGCCTAAAATGGGTCTGAACACCAACACAAGCAGCAAAACTGTGTGTAAAATGCTACATTTCACTCTATTAACATGGACAGATTTAGTTATAAAGGGGGTATTATTTGGGCAGGCCGTTTTAACCCACTTGCCTGGATTATACCCCCCAATTTCTTCTCTCTAAATACCCAAATGCTTCCTAAAATGGGTCTGAACACCAACACAAGCAGCAATACTGTGTGTAAAATGCTACATTTTACTCTATTAACATGGACAGATTTAGTTATAAAGGGGGTATTATTTGGGCAGGCTGTTTTAACCCACCTGCCTGGATTATACCCCCCAATTTCTTCTCTCTAAATACACAAATGGTTCCTAAAATGGGTCTGAACACCAACACAAGCAGCAATACTGTGTGTAAAATGCTACATTTTACTCTATTAACATGGACAGATTTAGTTATAAAGGGGGTATTATTTGGGCAGGCTGTTTTAACCCACCTGCCTGGATTATACCCCCCAATTTCTTCTCTCTAAATACCCAAATGCTTCCTAAAATGGGTCTGAACACCAACACAAGCAGCAATACTGTGTGTAAAATGCTACATTTTACTCTATTAACATGGACAGATTTAGTTATAAAGGGGGTATTATTTGGGTAGGCCGTTTTAACCCACTTGCCTGGATTATACCCCCCAATTTCTTCTATCTAAATACACAAATGGTTCCTAAAATGGGTCTGAACACCAACACAAGCAGCAATACTGTGTGTAAAATGCTATATTTTACTCTATTAACATGGACAGATTCAGTTATAAAGGGGGTATTATTTGGGCAGGCCGTTTTAACCCACCTGCCTGGATTATACCCCCCAATTTCTTCTCTCTAAATACCCAAATGCTTCCTAAAATGGGTCTGAACACCAACACAAGCAATACTGTGTGTAAAATGCTATATTTTACTCTATTAACATGGACAGATTCAGTTATAAAGGGGGTATTATTTGGGCAGGCCGTTTTTACCCACCTGCCTGGATTATACCCCCCAATTTCTTCTCTCTAAATACCCAAATGCTTCCTAAAATGGGTCTGAACACCAACACAAGCAGCAATACTGTGTGTAAAATGCTATATTTTACTCTATTAACATGGACAGATTTAGTTATAAAGGGGGTATTATTTGGGCAGGCCGTTTTAACCCACTTGCCTGGATTATACCCCCCAATTTCTTCTCTCTAAATACCCAAATGCTTCCTAAAATGGGTCTGAACACCAACACAAGCAGCAATACTGTGTGTAAAATGCTACATTTTACTCTATTAACATGGACAGATTTAGTTATAAGGGGGTATTATTTGGGTAGGCCGTTTTAACCCACCTGCCTGGATTATACCCCCAATTTCTTCTATCTAAATACACAAATGGTTCCTAAATGGGTCTGAACACCAACACAAGCAGCAATACTGTGTGTAAAATGCTATATATTTTACTCTATTAACATGGACAGATTCAGTTATAAAGGGGGTATTATTTGGGCAGGCCGTTTTAACCCACCTGCCTGGATTATACCCCCCAATTTCTTCTCTCTAAATACCCAAATGCTTCCTAAAATGGGTCTGAACACCAACACAAGCAATACTGTGTGTAAAATGCTATATTTTACTCTATTAACATGGACAGATTTAGTTATAAAGGGGGTATTATTTGGGCAGGCCGTTTTAACCCACCTGCCTGGATTATACCCCCCAATTTCTTCTCTCTAAATACCCAAATGCTTCCTAAAATGGGTCTGAACACCAACACAAGCAGCAATACTGTGTGTAAAATGCTATATTTTACTCTATTAACATGGACAGATTCAGTTATAAAGGGGGTATTATTTGGGCAGGCCGTTTTTACCCACCGCCTGGATTATACCCCCAATTTTTCTATCTAAATACACAAATGGTTCCTAAAATGGGTCTGAACACCAACACAGCAGCAATACTTGTGTGTAAAATGCTATATTTTACTCTTTTATAACATGGACAGATTTAGTTATAAAGGGGGTATTATTTGGGTAGGCCGTTTTAACCCACCTGCCTGGATTATACCCCCAATTTCTTCTCTCTTAAATACCCAAATGCTTCCTAAAATGGGTCTGAAACCAAACACAAGCAATACTGTGTGTAAAATGCTATATTTTACTCTATTTAACATGGACAGATTCAGTTATAAAGGGGGTATTATTTGGGCAGGCCGTTTTAACCCACCTGCCTGGATTATACCCCCAATTTCTTCTATCTAAATACCCAAATGCTTCCTAAAATGGGGTCTGAACACCAACACAAGCAATACTGTGTGTAAAATGCTATATTTTACTCTATTAACATGGACAGATTCAGTTAAAAGGGGGTATTATTTGGGCAGCCGTTTTAACCCACCTGCCTGGATTATACCCCCCAATTTCTTCTATCTAAATACACAAATGCTGTCCATGTTAATAGAGTAAAATATAGCATTTTACACACAGTATTGCTTGTGTTGGTGTTCAGACCCATTTTAGGAACCATTTGGGTATTTAGAGAGAAGAAATTGGGGGGTATAATCCAGGCAGGTGGGTAAAAACGGCCTGCCCAAATAATACCCCCTTTATAACTAAATCTGTCCATGTTAATAGAGTAAAATATAGCATTTTACACACAGTATTGCTGCTTGTGTTGGTGTTCATACCCATTTTAGGAACCATTTGGGTATTTAGAGAGAAGAAATTGGGGGGTATAATCCAGGCAGGTGGGTAAAAACGGCCTGCCCAAATAATACCCCCTTTATAACTGAATCTGTCCATGTTAATAGAGTGAAATGTAGCATTTTACACACAGTATTGCTTGTGTTGGTGTTCAGACCCATTTTAGGAACCATTTGTGTATTTAGATAGAAGAAATTGGGGGGTATAATCCAGGCAGGTGGGTTAAAACGGCCTACCCAAATAATACCCCCTTTATAACTAAATCTGTCCATGTTAATAGAGTAAAATGTAGCATTTTACACACAGTATTGCTGCTTGTGTTGGTGTTCAGACCCATTTTAGGAAGCATTTGGGTATTTAGAGAGAAGAAATTGGGGGGTATAATCCAGGCAAGTGGGTTAAAACGGCCTGCCCAAATAATACCCCCTTTATAACTAAATCTGTCCATGTTAATAGAGTAAAATATAGCATTTTACACACAGTATTGCTGCTTGTGTTGGTGTTCAGACCCATTTTAGGAACCATTTGTGTATTTAGATAGAAGAAATTGGGGGGTAAAATCCGGCAGGTGGGTAAAAACGGCCTGCCCAAATAATACCCCCTTTATAACTAAATCTGTCCATGTTAATAGAGTAAAATGTAGCATTTTACACACAGTATTGCTGCTTGTGTTGGTGTTCAGACCCATTTTAGGAAGCATTTGGGTATTTAGAGAGAAGAAATTGGGGGGTATAATCCAGGCAGGTGGGTTAAAACGGCCTGCCCAAATAATACCCCCTTTATAACTAAATCTGTCCATGTTAATAGAGTAAAATATAGCATTTTACACACAGTATTGCTGCTTGTGTTGGTGTTCATACCCATTTTAGGAACCATTTGGGTATTTAGAGAGAAGAAATTGGGGGTATAATCCAGGCAGTAGGTGGGTAAAAACGGCCTACCCAAATAATACCCCCTTATAACTAAATCTGTCCATGTTAATAGAGTAAAATATAGCATTTTACACACAGTATTGCTGCTTGTGTTGGTGTTCATACCCATTTTAGGACCATTTGGGTATTTAGAGAGAAGAAATTGGGGGGTATAATCCAGGCAGGTGGGTTAAAACGGCCTACCCAAATAATACCCCCTTTATAACTAAATCTGTCCATGTTAATAGAGTAAAATATAGCATTTTACACACAGTATTGCTGCTTGTGTTGGTGTTCAGACCCATTTTAGGAACCATTTGGGTATTTAGAGAGAAGAAATTGGGGGGTATAATCCAGGCAGGTGGGTTAAAACGGCCTACCCAAATAATACCCCCTTTATAACTAAATCTGTCCATGTTAATAGAGTAAAATATAGCATTTTACACACAGTATTGCTGCTTGTGTTGGTGTTCAGACCCATTTTAGGAAGCATTTGGGTATTTAGAGAGAAGAAATTGGGGGGTATAATCCAGGCAGGTGGGTTAAAACGGCCTGCCCAAATAATACCCCCTTTATAACTAAATCTGTCCATGTTAATAGAGTGAAATGTAGCATTTTACACACAGTTTTGCTGCTTGTGTTGGTGTTCAGACCCATTTTAGGCAGCGTTTGTGTACTTAGAGAAAAGAAATTATTTATAAAATACTAAATAAATATGTTCATAATCTGTTAAAGTTCATTATGACTAAACCTATCGTGTCTTTATACTTTCATATTTTATTATTATCATGTTTCTTGTTGTATTATGTGCACTGGAAGCTTCAAGTACCAAGACAAAATCCTTGTGTATGTATTTTATTTCATAAATTTATGGAATATTATAAACATTTCGGGTGTAAGTGACAATATGATGCATAGCTTGGTTTGCATCTAAGCAGAAAGAAAAGAAAAAAGAAGAAGAAAAAAATGGAACAAATTACGCCATCGAAGCGTTTATCAAAGAGATTTGCTACGGACGTGCCAGTTTCCTTTACGATTAGGGTTGAAAAGCAATTACGTTCTGAGTTTATACTGCCATCTACAGGAAAATAACAGATTTTCTTCAATTTGAACGTTTGGAGTGGGGATCAGTGAAGCGTTTAACCGAACGTTGCGTGTTTTAACTGCCATCTACCGGAAACACGACGGTACTGTCCGCGTGCACGCGAAAGGGGGTAGTCTTTTGCCGGGGGGTCGGAATTAGGCACAACAGGGGCACTCGGATGTAAACAACAGCATTTACTGCACTATGTATGTACTACGGAACACATTGTTACACTAAAAAACACAGAAAAAAACCCTTGGTAGGTACGAAATCATATAGAGATGGACTTACCAAGCAGGAGAGAGCGTAATATTTTGACAAACTAAAGTTAATATGTGGTAATGGTGAGCTTCTATAGCCCGTACTGCAATTCTTCCTTCTATTTTCTTGTTCCGACATAGGGCTACGCTCAGATTGTCAGTCCAAAAAGCACATGAAATCCGTTTTCAAGCTAGCAGCTACATCCATATGTGGTTTGAAATCCTATTCAAATACCATATGCCTCAGTCTGAACGATCGGATTTCGGATGGAATGCGACTTTCACGCCACATAAAATGTAACGTTAAACATCAGTTTTAGAGGAGACATGCTGCAAGTCGCTGCCGAAACAATGCTGTGTTGTTGCAAAGTGCCGGACGAGCAGAAAAATATTATTTCTGAAACATGTATTGAAACGGCGCTGACAAGAACGCGGAAAAAAGCCGTAACGTTGCATAACAGATTCCTACCGTTCTGCAGCTCAATACGCAATTCCACCAGAGGCTGTTGCTTAAAGTCCCTAATATAGTTCAGCGCGCGGTGGCTACACACATCCATTTTGTAAAAATTAAATAAGAAAACATCACTATTGCAAATGCAAACCCCTCCATCAGTGTCAATGTCAGTGCCGTATTGCTGATGCTGTGCCTCTGTCAACCACAAACGCCTTCTTTCATCAGTTTTTGCACTCTTCTCTTTAACGTTTGGTAGTCTGTAACTCAAAAGGTATTTCCCCGATGTGACAGTGACAGATTAGTACAGACCAAAACTCGGCCATTTTTCAGCAAATAATCAGCCAAATTTGAAGGAAGGTGAACTTTGAAAAGGTGGACTTTCATTTTTGCATTTCTTTCTCTTGCTATAGGACATTTGATTTTCCTTTGAAGTAAATAACTTTTGTAAATAACCATAAGAAATTAGTGAAACTGATTTTATTTAAATTTATTTTATTTTCCCTAATTAATGTTGTTTTATTGGCAATAATATATAGACCTTGTTGTTTCAGGTTCATAATAATAATACGTTTGTTTCAATAAGTGTTTAACCTGTCCGGCCCTTGACCCTATAGCAATTTTTTGATCTCGGCCCACTGTGTATTTGAGTTTGACACCCCTGCCTTAGATGTT